TTATTGGCAACGTAGTGTAGGACAGAAGAGAAGACTCCTAAACCTTTTGTTATCATCAAATCCTATTATCATACCAATTATTATACAGGCAAAAAGAATCATTCCAGCATATGTATATAGAACGTCATTCTTCCAATACAAATAATAAGCTAATGCATATATGACCCAAAAAATAAATGCTCCAATTGCAAATACTAATAAATACTTAATTACCTCTATTTTCATCGATCCATAAATTATGAATACATTTAGAGAGTACAATATAATTCCTCCAATACTTAAGTATATAGCATCTTTCTCCCATTTTAAATAATGCTTGAAGACAATCACCATATACATGAATAACAATCCAATTAACAAAGCTATTACAAAGTACTTCCATGTTGAGTCTACCATTAGTCCAATAACCAGGCATGTCAATATACATGTAAACAGTATTCCACCTGTACCAAACATTATTATAAGTGTGGGCCATTCAAGATAATAGACAATCAAAAACATTATATAAATCATAAAAAGGGAAATGGCAAACAAACCAAGGTAAATATTAAAGTGGAGGAAAATGGCTATTAGTATCATTCCAACTGGTATTACTCCAGCAAACACATTTATATAATATATCGCAGCTATTGCAATTACAACTGAAATAACTATACCAGCAATAAGATGGATAAAGAAACCAATCATGATGAGTAATAATGCTGAGGCTACATAACCTGCATACTTATTAAGATAAAAACATAAGGCGGTGGCATATATTCCAATCAAGTAGGTTGCAACATATACATTACCATAATAATATGCTTCTGTAGTACTAATCATAACCAATGCTAGAATCAGTCCTGTAAATAACAAAAAATGAGTCCTCTGCATTCCTTCAATCCATTCTCCATCATAAACAATGTTTCCATATTGATATAGTTTACCTTGACCATTTCTTTTTCCATTTTTAAAACTGCCCTTGTATAATAATGAATCTCCATCATTATCATATTCTTCACCTTCTCCTTCTCGTTGATAATTGGATTCAATGGAATCATTATACTCTCCTTCATATGTCTTTTTACCGTTTTTAATTTCCGTCATTATTCCATTATTAAACAGTTTCATTGTTTCAATTTCTTTGTCATCTTCCCATCGACTTACTCGAGTAATTTGATTATTGTGATATTGATAAGATAGTCCATTATACTTCTTATTCCTATCAAGGTGAGAAATACGACATAAATTGCCATTACTATCTCGTTCCTCCCAAAATTGCTTCTTGTTTGGTATTGGATATAGTTTGTTTCCGCTTTTGTAGTATCCTTCAAATATCACATCACCATTTTTGTCAGATTCCGTACATTCACCTTCACGAAGTCCATTTCTGAATCCACCTTCGTACCATACTTTATGAGGTTCATCATAAAACTTGCATCTTCCACTCAGCGAAACCTCCTTACCTTCATGCCATTCGCTAACCCTCTTAATTTCTCCATTATTATAAAAACAACATACACCCTCATATCGCCCCTCACTGTCTTTTTTACAAATACCTTTCAAATTGCCATTTTGATCATATTCTTTCCAATATCCCTCCATTTCGGCCATTGGTAAACTCTTTGATATTATACCATCATTATAGAATCCTTCGATCCATTTTCTTTGTGCTACGTCGTAATATTTATAATATCCAAAATACTGTACTTCCTTTCCTTCATGCCATTCACGGATCTGTGTCATTTTTCCATTTTCAAAAAAATAACAAATACCCTCATATCTCCCACAATTGTCTATTTTGCAAATGCTTTTCAGATTACCGTTTTGATTATATTCTTTCCAATATCCAGCCATTTCAGATAAACGAACCATATTCAACTTTATACCATTCGAATAGAAACATTCAGATATCATACTTCCATTTATATCATATTCCTTAATTACACCATTACAAACTCCATTCTTATATTCTCCTTCAATCCATTTTCTGTTTCTTTCATCATACAACTTGAAATATCCAGTATAGGGAGTTTCGTTACCTTCATGCCATTCACTTAGTCGTTTTACTTCACCATTCTCGTAGTAAAAGCAAACACCATCATTTTGGCCTTCATCATCTTTCTTACAAACGCTTCGTAGATTCATGTTGTCATCGTATTCTTTCCAGTATCCTTCCATTTCGATCATCTTTACTAGTTTCTTACCTTTGTCATACAATCCTTCATAGACTACAGTACCATTTTCGTCATATTCTTTTCCTTTTCCTTGACGATAACCATTTACAAAACTTCCTTCAAAGAATAATACTCCGTTTTCATCAAAGATAGTACAGGGACCGTTTGCTACACCTTCGACAAATGTCAAGGTTGCAATTAATACGCTTTTGTCAGAATATAGCGTTGATTCACCATCCATTTTCTGATTTTTGAGATGGGTGATAATCTTATAGTCCACATGAGGCGGACCTATTATTACTGTAGCTATATTTACTCTGCTATCAACAGATGAGATAGGAAATTGTTCACTAAAGTTACATTCCCAACAACTATTTCTTGTAGGTTCAGAAATCACATGCTCAGCCATCGGAATGGCAATAAACCCACTATTTGATTCTTTACTTTGCTGTAGATTGCTCATCAATGTTTTTATGAAAATTGTTCCTGGTGACACTAATCGTTTTCCCACTCTGTTAATTTTAACAATCGAAAATAACTCTGTTTCTGTAATAATTGGATTTACATTATTATTATATTATATTATATTATACATATACAATTATTACACAAAGTGTTGGCTGGTTTAGAACACTTGATTGTTATTGTTCTCTTCTGTTCAATAATGTGCTGTAAATATATCAAGCATGACATATATACCTTCATTTCTATATCACGAAGAATCACTTGTTACACCTTTCACAAACCGTAGAATTGTTTATTATTATTATTAAAATGATTACACTTACGATAATTAATTTATAATACAATCACAATGTTTCCATTTTACATTCACTAGTGATCAGAATCTTAGACCACTGTACATTATGATTAAAGTGAGTTGTATAGGTATCTATAATTATCATAATCAATCACTACACAAATAGGTATTGATTATTTTCACAGTCATTATCACCTTAATAAAACCAAATCAAGTATAATGTGGAATAATCTAGAATATATATATATAATGATATTAGGGTTTCAGGCACGAAAGGCCATCCTTTTCCCTTTTTTCTTATTTGGCCACATATTCCTATTCTTTCACTAATTATAGAATTTATATGTATATATATAATTATTTTTTCATTTTCAAACAATTCACTTGTATATCTACTGACTTTTACACTCTCTGCAAACTCTAGTTTTCAGTATCGATTCTAATCTATTCTATTCCACATAAATATCGATATATCACATGAATTCTAGATATCGCATGGAGTAACAAACAAGCTCAATTCTTACCCAACTTTTCCTTTATCACATCCGGAATAAACTCATTCTTCTCAAAGTCAGTATACTGATACCGATTCTGAAGTTTCTTCAGTGCATTTTCACCCATACTCCGAATTCGGTCTTCAAACGACGCTATTTCTCACTCCTTTCACCCAATCCAACGTGCTTTCGATCTCCGTTCTAGCGGTGTGTATTTTCGAGCAGCAACTTCCTGGAAGTCTCCCTCCAGTTCTCCGCTGGGAACGAATCTCTCCGCATATTCCTCTCGAATTCCACTCAGCAGCTGCAGCGCGCAGGCCCCAGGAATCAGCGTCCGATACACCCTCTCTTCGCAAGCTCTGCGAAGCTCCGCGAGCGCAGAATCGGACAAACTGGCGTCAAACGAGCAGGGCGCTTCGTTGTATTTCTCCGTGCTGCTTTCGAGAATGGGAGCATACAGCGGGTGCGATCGAATGAACTGATAACTGCGAGCCGTCTGCGAACCCACGGGCTTGCCCGGGTTGAACACGCAATCGTAGAGAACGAGGGGCTCTGGATCCGCGAGATGATACTGCGGTTTGCAAGGGCTTTTCGATACATCGAGGAGATCGGAGATGATCGTTTGCTTCTCCTTTTTCGACGCCACCAAGAAAAGAATGCTCATCATGCACCGAATCTACCAACACACGCGAAACGCTCGGCCTACCTGATGCCACAAGAACGCGCGACCCACAATCTCCACGGCCAGCACGTCGTGCTGCGGCGTTTCTCTGAAGGAATCAATCCCCTCGACGCATCGTACCCCTTTCGGATCTCCACGACATCCCCGCGGAACACCGTGCGCGTGAAATCGCAGACATTCACCGCGTCGATTCGGCAGAAGTTCCGGAAATCGTGCTCCCCTTCGAACAGTTTCACCGCCGATCGCATCAGTTCCACGTCGTAATTTCGCCGAAGAAAGTAGTAGCGATACACGCGGCCTGCGGATAAATTCGCGGCCCAATCCTCACCGCAACACGAGTAACGAGCGCTGAAAGATCGGTCGACGGGGCACCAGCCGGTGATCCGAATGGTGGGCGGAAGCACTTTGTTCAGCACCTAGATCGCGAAATAACCGCGGTTCCTACCGAAGCATAATCGAATTCGGTAACGGGAGTAGATGAAGAAGGTGCAGATTGGGGCTGGTTGGATGTGTTGGGAGCGTTGTAAGGAATCGAAGGATCGAATTCGTCGACGAACTCCACGCCGCTGCGGAGATTCGAGCGCAGATACAGCGAAATCACTTGGTTGAACGCGCTCACGCCGGCGTCCGTGCGGCCACAGCGCTGATAATGGCATTTCGAAATGTCGTCGATTAAATGCACGCGCTTCAGAGCGGAGAAGATGGCCGACTCTACCGAGTTGTCGTCGGCCACTCCGTCGATTTGCTGGGCACTGTCGCGTTGGGCAAAGCCGGACATTTGCGAACCGTCGTAGTACACCTAGAGAATCAAACGATTGAAACATGATAAAAATACGCGAAGTGCAATATGACGTCTCCTGTACTTTGATATATCGAATACACGTTGCTTTTTACCACTCTTGCCGTCGCTTTCTAGCTATTACCCAATTCCTCTCAAAACCATATACGCTTCTCCCTTTTTACAGGTTCATACTGGAACGCCTCAATTCCATCGAGTCCCTCGGGAATCCACTTCTTCACCACAGCATCGAACTGGTCTTCACGTAAAAATTGCATAAAACGGCTCACACCTTTAGGGACGAGCTTGCATAAGTCTCCAATCACTTTAATTAGTGAGCCCTTGTAAATGTGCGAAAGATCCATTCTACCACGCTTAAAAGCTTCTAAAAGATAAAATACTACAAAGCTGTAGTATACAGAATGAATAATAGCACTTCTTCTCCCACTCTGCTAAAATACCGGGATCCCCGCTCTGAACGTCTAGATCATTTCATGTTTTTTGTTCAGATCTTTGTGTTTTTGATTAATGGCAGCTCCTCAAGATCTAAGTGGAACCCAGTTATTTAAATACAAAATCGTATCTAAATGGATAAGTACAAGTTCATGTGTAGGTGTTGCTCGGAGAAACAGCCGTTGGAAAATCCAGTATCGTCCAGCGATATGTTCGAGATCAGTTTTTAGATAATCAGGAAAGCACAATTGGAGGTGTGTATTGTTGCCTCATGAATTCATTTCTTTAGCTGCTTTTTTGAGCCAGACTATTAAGATTGATAATGATATCGTTAAATTTGATATTTGGGATACGGCTGGACAAGAACGGTTTGGGTTGCGTTTTTTACGCTCATCGATAGGTACCACTCTTTGGCCCCCATGTATTACCGCGGAGCGAAGGGTGCTCTGGTGATCTACGACATTACCAGTCGAGTAGCTTCGTCTCTTAGATTTTCTTAGCGACCTAGACAACTTTTGCTCGTGCCAAGAACTGGGTCACGGAGCTGAAGCAGAACTGTATCCTCTTTCCTTTCTCTTCTCTAATCATTTTAGCTGGAAATCCCGATATGGTGATTGCTCTCGCCGGTAACAAGTGCGACCTGGCGATGAACGTATTCATTCCATGCGCATCCTCATCCCCAGAGAGAAGTCCCTAAAGAGCTCGCCGAGGAGTACGCCAAGGAGAGCAACATTCTCTTCATGGAAGTCTCCGCCAAAACGAAGGAGAACATCGACCTCATCTTCGAAACCCTCGGTTTCCCTTTTTTTCTCCATTCATTTCCAGCCCGTCGCTTGCCCCGAACGCGCACGCCGGTGCCCTCGCCGACGACGACGCCCGTCGTGGCTCCCGCCCCCGCTGAGACCAAGAAAGGTTGCTGTAATTGTCTTGTTTGTTGCTCAAACACGCCATTGCATCGCCTCGTACATCATATAGATCGTTTCGCGCAGCTCCTTCACCGCCTGCTTGCTCAGCTTCCGCGCCAGCGCGTTGCTGACGATGGAGTCCACGATGTCCAGCTTGTACTCCGTCTGGTGCTTCTTCACCCACGCGAGGATATCCGCTGGCTCCTCCAGCTTGCAGCAGGTGAGGTAGTCCAGAACGTACTTGAGGTCCTTCACGCTCTCGAACGGCTGGATCACGCAGATGTCCGAGGCGAAGTTGTACAGCGCGTTCGCGTCCAGCGACATCTGCTCGCGGCCTTCTTGCGAGCACTTCTTGACCGCTGCGTAGCTGACGACGAGCTCTTCGAGGATGACGCCCATGATAACGGCCCAGAAGCGACCCACACACGTGGAGGTGAACCGATTTTCCTGCAGCTGCGAGTGAGAAAGAAAGACAAAACCCAAGTACCGCGGTGTTGATGACGCTCCATGCCGAGTCCAGATCGCCTTTGATCATCTGCATGTACTCCGAGTCCTTCTCTTTCGCAGAGCGGATTTCCCACTTCTGCTTGAGAATGGCCGGCTTGTATTCGTCGAGGTTCTGCACTCTGAGCCCTTTTCCTCGCGCCAACCTGCAAGATCGTGTAGGACGACGACCGATAGAACATCTTGCAGAGATCCTGCGTGATGTGCGGCAGCATTGTGATGTATTCCTGCACCATCGCCGACTTCGTGATCGGCGCTAGCGACTCCACGCGCGGCCGAATCGCAGCGAACAGCGCCGTGAACAGTCGCGTGCTCTCCGCAGCCACAATCCGACGCACCTCCAAGTTCTCCTGCAGCATCGACTCGTCCACGTTCAGAATGGGCTGCGGCACGCCGAGCTCGTCCTCCACTTCCTGCGTGATGGAGGAAAGCGGCGTGAAGGCCTCAGTGACGTCCTCCATCTCCTCGACGTCGATCACCTGCTCGGGGAAGAGAACCGTCTGGCAGCGTTTGATGAAGGGGATGATGTAGGGGTAGGTGGCGGCGCCGTTGGTGACGACGAAGAGCGTGTTGAGGAGAGCGGGCGTCGAGAAGAGCGTGGTGACCGCGTAGACGTAATAGTCGACGAGGTTGAGGAGTTTGGAGGCCACGAAGTCGGCGCAGAGCGGGAGATGCAGCATGATATCGAGATAGTTGCTCACGGATTTGATGAACGCGTTGATTCCAACGCCCGTCAGAATCAGCTGGTTGTCGATCGAGTTCAGCACCGCCGGATGCCGCGCGACCTTCAGTTGCAGCTTCTTGCCCTCCTCGAAGCAGTTCCCGTCGCGGTACCAATGCATGAACACTTCGTGCACGTTCGACTCGCTGCTCCGCAAGAACATATTCTCCTCCGGAGGAATCGACAGGTTGCTCTGCAGCAGCCCCGGGAAGCCGTTCATCTCCGCCAGCTTCATCGGGAACGGCTGCGACTGAGCGAAGTTTTGCCAATCCTACCTGCCACATCTCCGTCTCCAGACTGCTCTTGAGCGCCTCCAGCGTGTTGTTGTGGATCTGATCGACGTACTTGCTCTGCTTCTGCGTCAGCTTCGTCTTGAGCTCGGGCGACTCGCTTCCGCAGAAGGTTTCGCCGATGAGAGCGAAGTACTCGCACAGCGCGTTGACCAAAATCTGCTTGATCAGGTGCAGATTCGGATTGTCCAGCTTCGTGCAGTCGATGAAATCGCACACCAATCGCTGCGACTGCGACCAAATATTCTACCGCTCACTCCGTTTCCACGTTTCCACTTTTCGGGACATGCGGAGCTGTCTGCGGACTTGCAGAAGCGTCATTCCGGACACGCCTTCGTGGTCTTCCTTGACGAAGGGCGTGAGATCGCGCTCGTTGTCCTTTCCGATCTCTTCCTCCTCGTTCTCCATCACATTCTCGCCATGCAGCGCCTCCAAGTCATACGACGCCTCTTCGAACGCGTGGCGATGCCACTGACACACCAGGTAATAGTTGTGCAAAATCGTAGCGATGCTCTCCATCACGCATCGCAGCGCTTTCGTCAACTACGCTTTATCCGCCCTTCATCCAGAGCTACGTCTGCAGGCTTCACCGAGGCGCAGAGCTGCGTGTAGCCCATCTGCATGATCAAATCGCGCGGCAAAATATTCTCCTTGCTCTGCAGAAGGAACTGCTTCAGCGCGGACTCGCCTCCCTCCGTCAGCAAACTGCACGCGCACTTCTGCAGCACGTTCACATACCCATCCTTCTTAATCTTCTTCGGCGCGGGCGGCACTGGCGACGACGGCGACTTCGGCGACCTCGGCGACCTCGGATCGTCCTGTCCTCGGTTCAGAGAGCGATTGCTCGCGTTGTCCAGCGCCTGCTTCTTGAGCTTCTGCGTCTCCATCGCGGTTAAGTGCGCGTCCAGCACGCTGTAGGTGCGGAACACGTTCGCGTAGGTCGTCGGATCGAACTGCAGGAGCTGCTCGCGCACGCTCTGCACGAGACGCTCCTGCAGGCGAGGCCAGACGTTTTCAACGCGAATGCGCATGGAATCGAGACACGTGTATTGCATCAGAGCCTCCGACATGATCATCGATTCTAACTGCGAGGCGATTTCCACGCCCTTGATGATGTCGCCGCTCTCGATCACTTTGTGCAGGGTGGATTCGAGGTCAGAAAGGTCTTGGAAGGATTCGATGATGCTTTGGACTTGGCGCAGACGAAGCTCGCGACGACGCTGATGGGCGATCGACAGACCGGGCTCCGTGATCGTCTTTTTCGACTGCTCGAGCATTCGACGCGTGTTCTGGACGTAGACATTGGAACGGCTCAGGTCCAAATCGATCTCCTGGATTAGCTTGATACCCGTTAGGAAATCGTTGTAATTTGCAGACACAGCCTTGTTCAGATGATCGTCCACAATCTCCATCTGCGATTTTATAAGACCCTCCGTTTTAATCATCCAAAACTCGTTCATATCTGGATCATTTGGATAATCTCTCTACACATATCAGAACACGCCAAGCAGCAATGTACAATCACTTCCGGAACAGGATCAAACGTTTCCTCCATTCGTGCAGGATCTAACTGAGCATTGAGTACCTGCTCATCCATTTCTTGCTGTGCTTTCAAAGCCTATAATTCGATTCCGCAAAACAAGCAAGATACGTCCGTTCTCTTCTTGCGCTGCTCTTTCGTAAAATCAGTTGTATTTAATTCATCTGGCAGCAATGCTTCCCGACGGATCACTCCACACAGAGAATTATCCTTCTCGGTCGTGGGAGTCAGCTTCATTGCTTGCAATCCAAGATTCTCCAGCTTGGAGACCTTGGCGCCAGCTTTACGTAATCTTTCGAACATCTGCATGTTCAAAGTCCTTTTGGTTGCTGAGAAATTGGATGTTTTGCATGAATGCCTGTACAGTCATCCGCCTTGAAAATCAAGGCGGTCAAAAAGGGTCAAAGAATCGCGGATTTGTTGTTCTCATTATTAGTCTTTTTCTTTTCAAGTGAAAAACATGCAAAAAGCAATCGAATCGGTGAGACTACCAAAGAGCATCATCCCTACAAAGTATGTCGTATAGTCTTCACATTTTCCGCTAGGTACGCTATCCACTATGAAAATATCGATTTGAAGCGATTTACGTTCTCCGGATTTGTGGATATTGAGTTAGATGTGAAAGAGGAAAGTGACTTTATCATGCTCAACGCCAAGGAGCTTACAATTCCCGTAATGATTTTGCGCGATAATGTTGATACATAGTCTGCATCACTCACTGTGAATGGCGAAGTGACTGAGTTGGAAGAGTTTTTCTCTTGAAGCGCTTTTCATTTTTGTAGGATTCTGATTCTCAAGCGACAGGAGCGCGTCGTCTTCAAGTTGGATACGCCCCTGAAACAAGGAACTGCCCTGCTCCATATTGAATTTGGCGGCATTCTAAACGACTACATGCAGGGTTTCTACCGCAGTCGGTACTCTGTAAACGGCGAGACGCGCTACATGGCGACGACCCAGTTCGAATCCACCGATGCCCGTCTGGCATTCCCCTGCTGGGACGAACCGGCTCTCAAAGCGCGCTTCCGCGTGTGGCTGACCACCCCTGTGGGTTTTACCGCGGTGAGCAACATGCCAGTGGTGAAGAAGCTGACGATCGAAGACCACGGCGAGGCGAAGAACGTTTTCGAATTCGACGAATCTCCGATCATGTCGACGTACCTTCTGGCGTTCGTGGTGGGCGAGCTGGACGTGATCAGCGGCTATTCGAAGGAGGGCGTGAAGGTGAGCTGGTAGGCGACGAGCGAGCAGCGACTCAACCGCAGCTACACGCCGCTTGGCAAAAGCGAATGGGGCGAGTTCGCGCTGAAGGTCGGTCTCCACGCGATTTCCTTCTACGCTGTACGTTGTTTTTGTTTGCGAATCCGTTTGCTCATTCCTAGGATTTCTTCCATGTTCCTTACCCTCTCAAGAAACTCGACCTTCTCCCCATCCCCGATTTTGCCGCGGGAGCGATGGAGAACTGGGGCTGCGTCACGTTCCGCGAGGTAGATCTGCTGATCGACTCGAAAACGGCGGCGATCGCGAACAAACAGCGCGTTTCGCTGGTGGTGGCGCACGAGATCGCGCATATGGTGAGCGAAATTTTGCGAAATGATGATGAAAAGTGGTTCGGCGATTTGGTAACGATGGAATGGTGGACGCATCTGTGGCTCAACGAGGGCTTCGCGTCGTACATGGAGTACGTCTGCGTCGATGCGCTGTTCCCCGAGTGGCACATGTTCACCGAGTTCTACAACGACTCCTTCTGCACCGCCTTCTACGACGACTCTCTCCGATCCACGCATCCTATCGAAGTTCCCGTCCAGACTCCCGACGAAATCGACCAGATCTTCGACGGGATCTCCTACAATAAAGGCTCCAGCGTGATCCACCAGCTCGTCAGCTTCATCGGCACCGCGCAGTTCCGCAAGGGCATGGAGATCTACCTCAACCGACACAAGTTCGGAAACACCTGCACCGAGGATTTGTGGAGAGCGCTCGGCGAGGGCAGCGGCTACGACTGCGAAGCCATCATGAAGAAGTTCCGGTTCGGAGAGTTTTGAACGGCTAGATGGACGCAATCGCCGGGCTACCCGCTGCTAATTCTCGCGGAGAAGGACGGACACATCGTGTCCTCGCAGCAGCGCTTCTACAGCAACCCTGCCGAGCCGGCGGAGCCAAGCGACTGGGAAATCCCGCTGGCGATCGTGACGCCGTCGCGAACGGAGCAGTTTTTGTACACCAACGCGCGGTCCGCGGAGTTCGACGCGCTCCTGGAAGAGCGTCTGGCGTCGGAGCGCTGGGTGAAAGTGAACCAGAACACGCTCTGCCTGGTGCAGTACCCCGAGACCATGCAGAAGCGCCTCGAGGACGCGGTGCGAGCCAAGGAACTGGGCGCACTGGACCGCATCCAGCTGGTTCTCGACCTCAAGCGGCTCTGCAACGCGCAGCGCGTCAAGCCCGCGCACGTGCTCAACTTCCTGCGCTGCTACCAGGCCGAGGACGACTGGTCCGTCCTCGAGGTCGTCTGCAGCCTGCTGGCCCATGTTTCCACGTTTCCACGTTTTGAGGGGTAGTTCTACGCGTTTATCGACGAATCCGATACCGAGCTGCGCGCCAAATTCCAGCAATTCGCGCGGTCTCTGTTTCCACGTTTCCACGTTTTGACTCCTAGGATCGAAACGCCCTTCAAGCGCTGCGGCTGGGACCCCGTCGACGACGAAACTCCCCATTGCTCTGCATGTCGTCCGCTGATTCTGGGTCTGCTGTGCTCGGTGTGCGAGGATGCCGCGGTGAAGAGCGAGGCGTTCCGACGTTTCCAGGTGTGGGTGAAGAGCGGTGACGGTGTGATTCAGTTAATTTTATAACGAGAAGATTCGTTATGCCACACGGAAATCCGCTCGCTCTGCATGAAGGAAGGCGTTTTGCAGGGCGACGAGGCGGCCGCGCGACGCACCGTAGCGGAGCTGATGGAGAAGTACCACGCGACGACCGGCGCGGAGCAGAGACGCATTCTGGCGGCGATCGGACAGGTCCGACATGCGTCGATTCTATCGAACATTCTGGATTTTTCGCTGGATGGAACGGTGCGGAAGCAGGATTCGTACATGGCGTTTGCGAGTGTGGCGCGGAACCGGAAAGTAGAAACGTGGAAACGGGTGAAGGGTAGTACCGGAAGCTGTGCTGGGGGTATTTGAAGGGGAAACTGGGGAAACTGCGCGAAAACTTGAAGAAATCGTTCAATATGCTGGGGTACTTCGTGGAGGCGGGAAGTTCGGTGCTGGACCGAGAGGAGGAACTGAAGGAATTCGAGGAGTTCTTCGGGAAGGAGGAGAATCAGCTGAAGGAAGTGTCGAGATCGATCGAGATTGCAAGGCAGAATATTTTGCTGAATATTTCGAGGAAGAAGTTCATGGACTTGTATTTGAGAGAGTTCTTTGAGTGGATTGTTTGTTGGAGAGTTCAGTACCCGAGTTTTGCATACTTTGATTTTGTTCGCGTGGAATGAGTGAGCTGCCGAGACTTGTGATTTTGGGACCGTCGAAGAGTGGGAAGAAGACATTATTGCAGGGTTGGGTTCGATGATAAGGTTCATGTCTAGGAATGAGTCGCTATTTGGAGTTTGATCACAAAAAGAAGCCCGAACAGTAGGAGCGCGATGTGGAAAGGGTCATCGGTAGAGAGATTGGCTCTTTCCACGGATATCAAGCCGATGTCTATACCAAATACTACAGAGCTCCTGTTTGATCGAAGTGTGCGAGTTACCGATAGATTCTGATTTGTCTTTCGAATGGGGACAATCGTCTGTTGACCGAAGAGGAGATCAGAAATGTGGTCAACAAGGACTGCCAGGCCATTATTTTGCTTTTCAGCTCTATTGACGTACGGCAACCTTCCATTTCCTTATACGCTTTAGTCGTCTGCGCTCGACACGCTGAATCAGTGGAATCAGATCATTAACAGTTGTGATGCTGATATCGATACGCGTCTTGTCGTTTTCTCGCACAACGACATCCAGACGCCATCGTAGCGAATTAGCGTATGGATCCATTCATAGCGCAACGGAGAACGCTTCTCTACTGGAGGATTGGAGTATTAACAACATGTACGAGTTTATCTCGTGCAATCTGCGAATTCCCCACTATAGTTCGTTTTTTCATATTTTTATTCATATCAGCATGGAAAGAGTCCGAGAAGCAAGGTGTAGCGCGCATCATCGAGACATTGGAGTGTGTAATGTGGTCGTCGATGGATCGCAACGGCGGTCGCGATACAGTCCACGAAATCGACGAAAGCATCATTATGAGCAATAGCGAGATCGATCAATGCGCCTACTGCTACAAGTCAAAAGTTTTTTGACATGGCGGGAAATGATTCAGAGTGTGGACCGAATTCCGTTATATCGCTGCAGTCGCTGTCGAATCGTAAGCTACTGCTCGAAGGAGTGCCAGGTGAAAGATTGGAAGAACCATCGAGCGTTTTGTGTCATCGAATTCGAATGGAGTCACGCGTAGAATCAAGTGTCTGGATATGATCCAGCAGCGAAAGCAAAGAAAGAAGAAGAAGAAAAGATGAAGAAAGCGGAGCAGAGCATCACGGGATCTCTGCCGGCTGCTCGTAAGAAAACGAAAAACTGAATGAATCAAAGCGAAAACGAAGGAAGAAGAGGAGATGGAGCGGTTCTCGAACCTCATTGCGGCATGCCGATCGGTGAGAGCAGGGAGAGCGAGTGAGGGATAGACGAAGGAAATGGCGAAGAATCTACCGGATGACGAGAGAAGGAAGCGAGCGGCGGCGATTACGGCGAGAGTGATGAGGGAGTTGAATTTGGGCACGGAGGAAGAGGCGAGACAGATTGAAGAGGATTTGAAAGCGGGGAATTTGTGGAGTGTTTGTTGGATGAAAGAGAGAGTGGTGGGACGGGGAAAGCGAGAGAAAGTTTGTGTGAGATAGAATGACAAGGAAAAAAAGGAATGGGATAAATGAATAACGGAGATAGAATGGAAAAGAATGAGGTTGAAAGGTGTTAAGCGATTATATTTAGGGGGAATTGAGTTTTCAAACGTACTGTATTGTTACAAGATTAAAGAGAATAATAGTAGATTACTAGAATTCCAACAATATACGGATATTCTCCACTCATTTCATTCCATTGATCCAGAAAAACGCGTTGTTTCTTGTATTATTGAAATCATAGCAAACTCTATTCTATTGTTAATACTATTTTTCTTCTTCTTCTTCTTCTTCTTCTTCTTCTTTTTCTTCTTCTTCTTATTATTATTTACAAGTTCCAAGACGATATAGTTTGACTATTGATTCTCATTGTCATCGGTGTAGTACTCTGTTTAAAAGTAATATCGTCAAGGTATTACAGTCGGCTATATTTCTTTTTGTCTAAGCATCCTATTTTCTTTTGAACTAAATGGATAGTAAGTATTCTACACATACCAATTGTGATGAATGGGTTTGTTCAAAGCAGGTACTGTTTATTACTGAGAAATCGAGGAGAATACCTCCATCAGCATCCTACGCATATGGAAAGGTTTCAAAGTAATCAGCCCTATCAACACATAATTGTTAATATAGTTAATTGTCCTTGTGTTATGAAGAAAAAGTAGAATGCAACCCTAAATGAATGGAAACTATTTGATTAGCGAAAAAAGTATAATGATTGAGTGTTAGTTAATGAAGGCAATATCATTGTTTCCAATCGAATTCTAATGTGTTTGTCAATTCGTTTATTAAAAATTGAAAAAATCGGATTTTCCGAAACGGTTGAGAATACTGAATGAATGAAAAACTTGGATCGCTTCTCGAGAAGTGGAATGGAAAGATGGAGTGGAAGAGATCCATATGACAAGTAGTATATGTACTCACTTGATATATCTTGTTCGTTCTACGTTGCCACTGTATAAATCAAAACCATTTAACAATGGTTTGTTAATCACATAGGTGGCGGATAAATCGTTCATTCAGTCATATATAAAAAACAACAAAAATTAGATCAAATAATCCTCGATCGATTATTGTTTTTTCTCGATTCACCTTTATTTTTGTTATCTTTCTTCATGAATAGCCCTTCATATTTTACTATATTATTCAACATTCTAAGGCACGATAATCAATATGCTTTCAGAGAATCGATATATGAACTGAAAATCAATATCTATGAGCGACTTTTAAAAGAATATGAAGATTCGGCATTACGCTTATTATTACAGTAATTTGGAACAAAAAAGCCATTCAAATAGAATTTGGACTTTGAAGAAAATGAACAGAGACCGACATACTGTTTTATGTTCGATACATTTCGAGTCACATGCAATTTACACTTATTGATATAGTTTTTCAACAAACAGGATATGAGGTGGTGATAAGGCATAATTACTACTACCATGAGCTCAACATAAGAAAAGATATCACAAGTGGTAATTGATATATCGATAAATAAAGAAATAAGACAATGTGTACAAAGTGGGATGTATGGCTCCAAAATATGTTCGATTGAATTATATTCTACCGCAAAAACTATAAATTTGAATCAATAAGTGTTTTTTCATAAAGAATAAAATTATATAGCATTTTGTAGTAAAAACGTTTTACAATATTTCTTTACTATTTCGATGCAAAAGATTGTTGATTTTGTCAGTTCTGTTATTAGTAACTATTATATTGATAGTTTCATTATTCAAAATGTGCAGGGATGCTTGGGTAAAGACATGAAACCAAATGGCTGGATTTCACTCATTTTGAGTAACAGAGAATGTGTAGTATTGCAATTCGATAATGGAGTATTCATGAATCAAGGATTTGTACTCAATGATGAGAAAGTGTTGAAAGTGTTTGGAAATCATCAAATTGGTACTATTTCATATAATGAAGAACAACCCATAGAAGTAGAAGAAGGAATCGTGGACTTGGATCATGGAAGTCGATTTGAAGGCTTGGTATTGACAGAAAAAGAAAAAGAAGGTAAAATTGGAATTCCATTTGGATATGGTGAAATGTATGATGATGATGGAATATTGATGTACAAGGGCATAATGATCAATTGGAAACGATTTGGCTATGGAACGAGTTATCATAATAATGGATGTATTGAATATGAAGGATATTGGTGTGATGATAAGCGATTTGGAATTGGAAAAGTGTATGATCGATATGGTAAATTAGTGAATGAATGTGAATGGTGTAATGGAATTGAATGTGATATTGATGAAAAATATGAAGGAGATGGAAGCAAACCAATGAATATCGGAATGAAACATTTGAAACTGATTGACAATTGTGTATTGGTTGATTGGGATGTTTCATTGCTACATAATTTGAAATTAATCGAAATCGGCGATGATTGTTTTGAATCAGTGCAAACATTCAAAATCGATGGATTGAATCGATTGAAAACGATCAAAATCGGAATCAATTCATTTACTCAGAATAAAAATTGGTTTGGAAATGATAGATCAAAATCATTCCACATACTGAATTGTGAATCATTGGAATCCATTCAAATTGGTCGATATAGTTTCAGTGATTTTGCTGGAGACTTTGAATTGAGGAATCTACCACAATTACAATCCATTCAAATTGGTACAATTGGAAGTGAATCATACAATTTCTATTATAGTTCATTTGTGATTCGAGGTATTGATATGATATTGAATATTTGAATGATGCATAGATCTTCCAAATCTACAATCTATTACATTAGGTGATCGAGCATTTAGAAATAGTGATAAATTCTATTTATACCATCTCAATTCATTAGAGGCAGTTGAAATTGGCAATAATTGTATTGGTTCGGTGCAAACATTCCAAATCGATGGATTGAATCGATTGAAAACTATCAAAATCGGAAGCAATTCATTTACTCTTAAAATAGATTGGTATGGAAGAAACAAATCGAAATCATTCCACATATTGAATTGTGAATCATTGGAATCCATTCAAATTGGTCGATATAGTTTCAGTGATTTTGCTGGAGACTTTGAATTGAAGAATCTACCAAAACTACGTTTTATTCAAATTGGCACAATTGGATTTAGATCATACAATTTCTATTATAGTTCATTTGTGATTCGAGGTATTGATATGATAAATTACTTATAATAAGATCTTCCAAATCTACAATCTATCACATTAGGTGATAGTACTTTTAGTAATTCTTTATCAACAGTGATTGAGAGTTTAGAATTAATAAAATGAAATGATTGGTTTAGATCTTCCATCATTACAATCCATTAAACTCAGTTATTGTGCGCTTTGTGGGAGAAAAGATGAATTATGCTCTTTGGTAATACGAAGTAAAGACGAAATGATTTGACATGATAGAATATAGATCTTCCAAGTCTAACATCACTCACTTCTGAAAAGCAAGGATGTGAATATCCTCGTGTAGTGACATTAGAAAGTATTTCTGAATATTGAATATTGATAGTATTTAGATATTCCAAATCTTCGAAATGTCGAGCTACCTGATTCATTCCGATATGTTCGATGGAAATCAAT